AAGGAGTTGAGGCTTGAAGTTGAATGACTGTGCCTACAAGCAAACAAGTGACTGAGATGAGAGAAATCCAACATTATGGATTCGAGTTGCTCGGAGGACATTTACCCTGAAAAGCAGACAAATGCAGCTGAAAAGTCCCAATTAGGACGAGTTGCGCGTCCTGTATCCCATCGCTGACCACATCTTGTTCTATATAAACTTGTGTCATAATATTCATGTTGAGACAATCCTTATAGACTGCCCGAATGTCAGCCGTAATTGAAGAAATTTCATTTATGTAGACATCAATAAAGGTTATTAAGATATAGGTTGTTTAAAATATCTTTTCCTATTTGTTGTAGATTAAAGCTCTTCGTGAAGCTGTTCGACATTCAACTTATGAGGTGTCCCAACTTTGTGGCGATAAAATGCTTGTACGTTTTCGCGTATGAATAATTTCTAAGTGTTATTATGATTATTCAATTGCTGTTAAAGTTTTGTAGACGATCATTAATTGCAGGTGAGCTGTTACGAGGATTTTTTCAGTGGTGGACCTTCTCCCAGGACGATCGCATACTGACTTTGAATATTCTATTCGGTGAAGACGCTGAAAAATGCAGAGTCTTCTGACTACCCTAAGCAACAATGCAAGCATGTTCGTGATGTAAAATATTGCTTCTAAATTGTCTTGTGACGGCACCGGAACTAGTGATAGGGAGTGAAGTAGTTGAGCGTGTCGACCGCTTCACTGGTCTCGTGAGTCTCACTAGTGCTGATGTCCTGAGGACTGACGAAATCTCAGCACGGATACAAAATGCCGATTCACGTAATTTATTGCGTAGGCGAGATATCCGTTTGCTGACTAAAGGACGAGTGTACTGTGCTGCAGTTCTCTCCATTCTCCTATATGGATGCGAGACATGGCCGGTAAGAGTGAAGGATATTAGTAGGTTACTAGCATTCGTTCATAGATATCTTAAAAGCAGTGCTGGTGTATCCTGAGCCAACCATATAAGCGATTCTGTCGTTAGGATACAAGTTCTATGTAAGGATGGCAAATTAATGGATGAAGTAGTGAGACTTCAGTTGAGGTGCTTTGGACATGTGTTACGAATGCCTAACCACCGACTGCCTCGACGAGCTTTGTTTTGTGGTGTAGGAGTAAGTTGGAAGAAAGTTAGTGGTGGCCAGACCAAAACATGGCGCGAATCCATGAAATCACTGACTAGTGGAATGAGTCATGTTGGTAGATGTTGACTACCTGGTTGGGATCCGCGGGACGAATGTCACCAATGGTTAGAGACCTTGAATGACATGGCCCATAATCGTTTGCAATGGCACAAGTGCATCCATTCATTGAGCACTCACAAATCCTAATCTTCTGGATTTCACAGCATCTGTACTATTGTCTTTCTAAACCTATCTCACTGAATCATACTTCTTAAATAATATCTTGGAACCCACTTCTTCTATATCACTAATAGTACTCCTACTTCCTCTACCACAAAAGTATGTGAACTGCGTCTCTGTGCTAGTGTTGTAACCTGAACTGATGTACTTACGTACGAAGTTCCAGGTTGCATCTGACTGATTGATTAATTGCAGGTTGTTTATCTACACTGAAAAAATAGTTCCTCTTGATAAATTTAAAATCAAAAAACAATGTAAGGGGTTCATACAATAAACATAGGTTGGAGAATGTTGGTTGGCAGCTTACGTTAGGGCAACTGGAGCAACTTGAGTAAGTATATACGTTAGGGGGTACCTTGTTCATCGTAGAATATCAGTTCATCTAGCCTATCCTAGTTTCTCTACATCTTTCTATCTTAATCAACCGCTAACTATACACTAATCAGAATCTGGACTGATAATTCTTTATTAGTGTTCGACTCCAAATAAACGACCAAAACTTGGATAGACGATACGTTTCAGCAAGAAGATAAGATATATATATATATATATATATATATATATATATATATATAACGTCCGTCATTATTCAACTCTTTTTTCAAATAATAAAAACATCTGTTTTCCATAGTATCCCTGTCTCTTCGATCTTGGTGGTCAGGCAGTTGAACTCTGGACCATGCGGTTGTTCAATCAGGTCTATGAGACCGACGCCAAAACTTATTGAGTTAACTCAAGTAACACTCTCATGATGTGAGCAGCAGTCACTAACACCAACTCTAGGCTTATGATGAATGTGAATATTTTAAACTTACCTACGGTCGTTCAGCTCCATCAAAATCATATTCATCATTTTCCATAGCTACTACTAGTTGACCCATTTAAATTCGTACGAATGATTGTTTCCGGCAAAATAACACTAGGAAGTGAAGTATTTTCATTATCAGTTTTCTACTGTGCAATAGACCAAACCAGATTCTGGTGGAGGAGGAAATCAGGAAGAAGCAGTGGAAGTTGATTGGTAGTAGTTATTATTGGACAGAAAAACCTGGACCTGCATTCTTGTGAAGAACGTATGCTATCATATTGATTCAAACTTCCGGCACACTATAATTCGGAATGGGACAGTACTACTTAGATAATCAGGCTACTAATTAACTTCTGAGATATTAACAATTATATTATCAATCATTATTTGTTGATATGATGTTTGTTAAGTCTTTCAGTGTTGATCAATTTCTATCAATTCATTAATGAATTTCGTTAGTTGAGAAATCAATACAAGCATTAGATACATAAACCCGTTTTTGGTGGATTGATCTACAGCTTATCACAAATGCGGAGAATAAGGACCCAGCTGCAATCCACCAGGCGGACAGCTCCAGAAACAAAATAAAATTTAATTTGCACAGTTGAAATGATGAACTGATCGTTAATTATTTAATCACCTGGAATGTTAGCTCGAAATTAAACAGTTATGATGTACTGGTGAACTACACTTATGTTATCAATATATATATATATATATATATATATATATATATATATATATATATATATATATATATATATATATATATATATATATATATATATATATATATATATCGATAACATAAGTGTAGTTCACCAGTACATCATAACTGTTTTAATTTCGAGCTAACATTCAAGGTGATTAAATAATTAACGATCAGTTCATCATTTCAACTGTGCAAATTAAATTTTATTTTGTTTTCTGGAGCTGTCCGCCTGGTGGATTGCAGCTGGGTCCTTATTCTCCGCATTTGTGATAAGCTGTAGATCAATCCACCAAAAACGGGTTGATGTATCTAATGCTTGTATTGATTTCTCAACTAACGAAATTCATTAATGAATTGATAGAAATTGATCAACACTGAAAGACTTAACAAACATCATATCAACAAATAATGATTGATAATATAATTGCTTAATATCTCAGAAGTTAATTAGCAGCCTGATTATCTATGTAGTACTGTCCCATTCCGAAATATAGTGTGCCGGAAGTTTGAATCAATATGATAGCATACTTTCTCCTCAAGAATGCAGGTCCGGGTTTTTCTGTCCAATAATTACTACTACCAATTAACTTCCACTGCTTCTTCCTGATTTCCTTCTCCACCGGAATATGGTTTGGTCTATTGCACAGTAGAAAACTGATAATGACAATACTTGCATCTTCTAGATGATGGCTTTGCTGTCAGATGCAGAATGATTCAAAAATAGAAAGAATTTCTGACAAATGTTTGACTGTGGTTTAAACTCTCTAAAGTTGTACATATCAGCCAGGCTTCTCCAATTCCATTTATGATTCCGATTTCTTTTTCTACAGGAGGATTCATTCAAACTGGAATAAATTGTTGTATTTACTCAATCTTTAAAAGAAGTTTGTAAAATATACTTGAAAGAAATTGATCTTCGTACTACTACTCTTACTACTACTGCTACTACTACTACTACTACCACCACTGCACTTCCTAGTGTTATTTCGCCGGAAACAATCATTCGTACGAATTTAAATGCAATTGCACGTGAAATAAGTCAACTAGTAGTAGCTATGGAAAATGATGAATATGATTTTGATGGAGCTAAACGACCGTAGGTAAGTTTAAAATATTCACATTCATCATAAGCTTAGAGTTGGTGTTAGTGACTGCTGCTCACATCATGACAGTGTTACTTGAGTTAACTCAATAAGTTTGGCGTCGGTCTCATAGACCTGATTGCACAACCGCAGGGTCCAGAGTTCAACTGCTTGAGGCCGGTCACGCATGGTCTTTTTATGAGAAACGTTTGAAGTGTTAGCTGTGCTCTTTTTGAAATGCTTTGCAGCTGAAATGGAAATCCGTGGAGTAATATGAGGTGTAACATTTTTAGGGTCGACATTTCTTAACCCCTTTCTTCCCCCTGTAAGAAGGCAGCATCTCTGCAGATAGCAGATGTTCGAGGAGAAGCCCGGATGTTGTCACATCCTTCTACAGTCAGCAGTACTATTTCACCCTCGGACTTTGAGTAACTGCTTTTAGTCTCATCATTCTTCAGTGGACCTGTTTGTCATGGTGAAACCTAAAGAATCATATGTTCCAGCCAATATAGCTTCGTTGGATCATCACGATAGGCAAGGCTGACCACCAAGATCGGAGAGACAGTGATACTATGGAAAACAGATGTTTTTCTTGTTTGAAAAAAGAGTCGAATAATGACGGACGTTATATATATATATATATATATATATATATATATATATATATATATATATATCTTATCTTTTTGCTGAAACGTATCGTCTATCCAAGTTTTGGTCGTTTATTTGGAGTCGAACACTAATAAAGAATTATCAGTCCAGATTCTGATTAGTGTATAGTTAGCGGTTGATTAAGATAGAAAGATGTAGAAAAACTAGGATAGGCTAGATGAATTGATGTTCTACGATGAACAAGGTACCCCTAACGTATATACTTACTCCGGTTGCTCCAGTTGCCCTAACATAAGCTGCCAACCAACATTCTTCAACCTATGTTTATTGTATGAACCCCTTACATTGTTTTTTGATTTAAATTTATCAAGAGGAACTGTTTTTTCAGTGTAGATAAACAACCTGCAATTAATCAATCAGTCAGATGCACCACAAAACAAAGCTCGTTGAGGCAGTCGGTGGTTTGGCATTCATAACACATGTCCTAACCACCTCAACTGATGAAGCTTCACTACTTCATCCATTAATTTGCCATCCTTACATAGAACTTGTTTCCTAACGACAGAATCGCTTATATGGTTGTCTCAGGATACACCAGCACTGCTTTTAAGATATCTATGAACGAATGCTAGTAACCTACTAATATCCTTCACTCTTACCGGCCATGTCTCGCATCCATATAGGAGAATGGAGAGAACTGCAGCACAGTACACTCGTCCTTTAGTCAGCAAACGGATATCTCGCCTACGCAATAAATTACGTGAATCGGCATTTTGTATCCGTGCTGAGATTTCGTCAGTCCTCAGGACATCAGCACTAGTGAGACTCACGAGACCAGTGAAGCGGTCGACACGCTCAACTACTTCACTCCCTATCACTAGTTCCGGTGCCGTCACAAGACAATTTAGAAGCAATATTTTACATCACGAACATGCTTGCATTGTTGCTTAGGGTAGTCAGAAGACTCTGCATTTTTCAGCGTCTTCACCGAATAGAATATTCAAAGTCAGTATGCGATCGTCCTGGGAGAAGGTCCACCACTGAAAAAATCCTCGTAACAGCTCACCTGCAATTAATGATCGTCTACAAAACTTTAACAGCAATTGAATAATCATAATAACACTTAGAAATGATTCATACGCGAAAACGTACAAGCATTTTCTCGCCACAAAGTTGGGACACCTCATAAGTTGAATGTCGAACAGCTTCACGAAGAGCTTCAATCTACAACAAATAGGAAAAGATATTTTAAACAACCTATATCTTAATAACCTTTATTGATGTCTACATAAATGAAATTTTTTCAATTACGGCTGACATTCGGGCAGTCTATAAGGATTGTCTCAACATGAATATTATGACACAAGTTTATATAGAACAAGATGTGGTCAGCGATGGGATACAGGACGCGCAACTCGTCCTAATTGGGACTTGTCAGCTGGATTTGCCTGCATTTCAGGGTAAATGTCCTCCGAGCAACTCGAATCCATAATGTTGGATTTCTCTCATCTCAGTCACGTGTTTGCTTGTAGGCACAGTCATTCAACTTCAAGCCTCAACTCCTTTTCAAATTGGAAATAAGTGGAAAGCTTGTGCAATATGCAGATCATGAGTATCGTAGTGAATATTAAAACATTGCTGAACAATTGGAAGATGTGTGTTTCAATTGTCTTGAATTATCGTCAACCTGGAATGTCATGTTCGTTATACTAATCACCTAAGGCAATATCAACGACAACTCATTGGAAGTGATTAGTCCAATGAGTGGAAAATACATTCTGCTCAATTCATTCGATATCTGTAGATCTGTCACGCGCTCGAAACAATTCGAGATAATCAGTTGTGAATGAAATGTCAGCTAAAATTTTCCAATTTTAATATTAGATAAATTGTGCACCATGTTGCGGTAAAGTATGAAAACCTCAGTTCAGATCGATGTTTTCCTTCGTAGTGTTTGCAAACTGATGTACTCGTGAACATAAGTTGTGAACATTTGTTACATAAATTCATCACAACAACGCAAGTAATGAGATGGAGACCATCAATTCCTTGTTGGTAAATATCAAGTTTCTGAGAGAAGAGTGTTTTCGATGTGATTTGAGGAGCCATCACGCAATGATCTAAACCATGTTCAGGCACAGCAGTGAGACGAGTCGAATTTCGTTTGAGTGGCTGAATCCACAAACGTTTGAGCAGAAACGTATTGCAGTTGAGTGAAGAGTTAAATGCAGAGTCGTTCACCAGAATGCGAACTGAAACATGCCTCTGTATGGATGATGTTGGAGCTAATTCGCCTAATATGCGGTTGCTACAAAGAAGGATGTTAGTGCATTATTCTAAAATGGGCTGGAAACATACTTTTCCATCACAACACGTGACATGTTCACACATACTTCAGACGTGCATAACGGACAATTGGTTGGACCTGTTGGTATGTGTTTGGGAATTGTGTTGAGAAGGAATAATTGTGGTGAAACTTCATTGTCTTTGTCGCTTATAAACGGCAGAACGTATAAATTTCATGCATTGGTACTTCCAGTTTATCGTGTCCACTCAGACTTTCCCATTTACGGGAAGCAATTGCCTTTCAGGATACTCTATCACCTAGGATGTTTTGAAATACATTTATACACCTTGATCCATTCTCGAATGTTATGTGTGATTGATTTTATGTGTACTTTGAATGATGATTTGCACCTCAATGGAACAGTTGTAAGAAGAGTTCGTCTGCCTTATCTATTTAAAGAGACAGCGCACTTCATGTTGAATCTAGACGTTCAAATATATTCATACACCATGATCCAATCGCGGGTGATTTGTTTGATTGTATAATTTCGTGCTTTAAACTTCTGTTTTCGTGAATTGAATGTCAGCTGCATGTGCTTATCTTTAAACTTTTAAAATTGATTATTTTTTGGCATGTCGGTAAATTTTTTCAAGAAAACAGAAAGTTCACATACCTTTACATCATCGTTCATTTTCTTATTATCTAATAAATATTTTGATCATGCCAGATTACACAGAGTAAATGAAGTGAGATTATATACTGTTGTATTTAAACAAAAAATTTGATATAATTAGTCATTAGGAATTCACTAACAATTAATTAACCTAGTATATATGGTGTGACTACTACATTCAAACTAGAACTACACGAAGTGAAATAGGTAGGTAGTGTGATCATTGATAGTTTATGAATCGCTCCGAACGTCTGACCGGTTTATGTATGTATTATACTACTGATAAACTGATAAGCTTCGGGCTAAGGAAGAAATTTCGGAAGCAACGAGAGTAATTGTCAATCGACTGTTAGCGGGTTTAGAATAAAGAGATTACAGGTTAGCTAGTTTAACAACAAACAATCGACAGTCTTTCCTCTTTAACCACAAACGCAATTGAGATTTACTAGAACTTGTAATGCCGCAAAATCTTTCTCTTTTTCTCACGGGTTGTTGCTACTTTTATATTCCACCAACCGAGTTTATTGCAAACTTAACTCATATCATCAGACTTCTGACCATTTGTGAATACCGTACCAAAACCACTAGTTACACAAATAAAGTTCATTTGCTTAAATATTCAAAACTTCATTCAGAAAAGTCGTCAATTCATAATACAATACATTATGTCATTGAACTTGTATCGTTTTGACACGACACTTGTACTAATGTTCCTCGGATATCAGTGTACAAATAAATCATTTCTGTGTATTCATTAATTTTATTTATTCATCAGCAAAACCACAAGTCAACACCAATTAGAAATGAGAATGACAATACAAAACAATGGGGAAAATAGATCTTGTGTTTATTCTTTTTTAAATTGGATTCAAACAACAACAGTAAAGAATTGATGGATAATGTAATGGATACTATGATGAATATTTACTTTGAATTATGTATATATAACCAAGCATATGTGTATATATTTATATGCATATATATAGATATATATCTTCAATTTATTTGAGTAAGCGGCACCCCGTCTTATTCATGAAAAAAGAAATAAATCTCAAACAAAAGAAAACTTGAACAAACAAAACAAATCAATCAACAATTCAATACAGTTAAACTGTTAACAAATGTGCATGTAATTGATGTAAATCTTCTTCAGTCATAAACAATTTTGTTGGTTTCAAATGGTCGCTCTGAATGTCGCCTTGTTCTTTGTCACCAGTAGATGCACTACTAATACTACTACTACTACTTCAGCTACTACAACTACCAGGAAATAATAAACGATAATGTAATGATGATGAAGAGATATCACTGGGATTTATCAAATTCAATAAGAATTGTTTCATTTTCATTGATGGAAATGATGCGAAATCGGCTTGAATTGATGTATTGGGCGATTCGGTTTTTAATGCTTCAAGTGTACGTTGTTGTAACGAATTAGTTTTGTTTTAAACCGAAAATGTGAGAGACAGGAACAGAAAATAGGTTAAAGATATAAAGTCAATATCAATACAATCGACTAAGTAAAGATAATTAAAATTGAAAAATCTTTATAGTCATGGCAAACCAATATATAAATTAGTGAAAAGTCCTAATACATTTCCCAACCACCGACTGACTCGACTAGCGATGAAACCTTGTGTAGGCGTACGGTAGAACAAAGAATGTCACAAACGTCATTGAGAAGTATACCGTGTCATGTTGGTAGGTATAGACTAACAGGTTGAAGTTCGCGGGACAACCGATAGATCGAGACCTTGAACGACATGGCTCAAAATCGTTTTCATTGACGAAACTGCCTCTCGAATTCCAATCTTCTGATTTCCTCATCACCATCTCAATCTTCCAAAGTTTGTTTCGCTAGATTATAATCTTTGAATAATCTTGTGAAACCCTAATCTTATTCACAACCGCCAAAACTTCTACTAACTTTATCAGTATGGGATTAGAGTTGAAAATTGCATACTTTGTGTGCTAATGTGGTACAGCAACTTGAACTGATGTACGTTCGAACATGCTTATGAAGTCCTACGTTGTGGCTGAACGAGCGATATGAATCTCTCGTCTATCTACTCACTATGCATTCATCAAAGGAACGTTTCCAATTATGTATTATTTTGTTATTTTTACGGAAACATTCAACAATCTAGAACCAAATGTTGTATTTACTCAATGTTTAATAGAAACTTGTAAAGAATACTTGACAGCAATTGATATACGTACTAATACTACTACGACCACTTCACTTCCTAGTTTCATTTCGCCGAAAGCAATCATTCGTACGAATTTAAGTCGAATTGCACGTGAAATAAGTCAACTAGTAGTAGCTATGGAAAATGGTGAATATGATTTTGATGGAATTAAACAACCATTGGTAAGATTATAATATTCACATTCATCACTAAGTATGAGGAAGCACGTAACTTACTGGCTGCTCACGCCGTGGAAAGGCGTTTCTTGAATTACCTGAATAAGATCAGCGTTGGTCTTATAGACCTGGTTGCGTGACCGCAGAGTCTACAGTTCAACTGCTTGAGGCCGGTCACCCATGGTCTTTCGATGAGAAACGTTTGAAGTGTTAGCTCTGCTCTTTTTGAAATGCTTTGCAGCTGAAATGGAAATCCGTGGAGTAATATGAGGTGTAACATTTTTAGGGTCGACATTTCTTAACCCCTTTCTTCCCCCTGTGAGAAGGCAGCATCTCTGCAGATAGCAGATGTTCGAGGAGAAGCCCGGATGTTGTCACATCCTTCTACAGTCAGCAGTACTATTTCACCCTCGGACTTTGAGTAACTGCTTTTAGTCTCATCATTCTCCAGTGGACCTGTTTTTCATGGTGAAACCTAAAGAATCATATGTTCCAGCCAATATAGCTTGGTTGGATCATCACGATAGGCATGCCTGACCACCAAGATCGGAGAGACAGGGAT